CATAGGTCTAATAATGGGAAGAACAGAATTTTTTAAATGTAGGATACTGTTTGGCTTAAACAGTGTTAATGTCCACTATTATCAAACTGATTGCAAATATTCTCAGGAGGCTGAGGGCCACAATTTGCCAACCCTTGCTCTACAATATTGAGGCAAAAAAAATTTCATAGTCTGTCATTGAACAAATATTTCTCTTTTATTCATACTTCAATCTATGATGAGAGGTACCTAAGTCAGCAGAATGGGGTAGTGAAAAGAACTCTAACTCACTAGAGTCTTAGTTAAAATAACTTAAGTCCCTACTGCCATGTATTGTGTGACCTTGGACAAAGCACTTAACCTCATCCTTCTCCCATCCCTTGGTGCTTTCAGAGTAATGCAAATATGGTAGTATATATTTCAAAAATAATTTGTTTCTCATGTAGACTAGACTGTTGGGAGCTCTTCAGGGTATGGACTGCCTCCTAATCTTTGTATCATGAACTAATAAAATGGTGCTTGTCACAGAGAAAATGAATAAATGCTTACTGAAGCTTATTAATCTGTTAATAGACTACCTAGAGTGTTTCATTTTTAACATCCAAAAACTAACCCATTTAAAAACTGCTTTATTTTTTTTCCTCTACCCTAAATCATTAATTCTTAACTTGGTTATAGTCTGAAAGACTTTCCAGAACATATACAAATTCAGTTATAAAACAGTTAAAACAAATTAGGGATTCTCATGTGGTAATTTTAAATCAAGAATCTTTTTAAATGTCACCCATATCACCTAATAAAGTTTAGTTAGCTATTATTAAATTAGTAAAATAAGTTACATACAATGGACTTAAGAGTTACATCAAGATTTAGTGAACTGGAACCTAAGCATTCTTCTTACCAAAGGCTCTATGGATAGAGTTCCCTGGTCAAATAAGTGTGGGCAATATTGCATGCTGCATCTCTACGGAGTTTCAGTGTACATTAGTATTAAAGTTATACTATAGACTCTTAAGAGGTCCTATAGCCTCTGTTTTAATACAGCATTTCTCGAATTTATCTGCTCATGGAATATCTTTTTTACCTAATACCTATTATTCTACAGAACTAGTTTTAGACTATTTTATGGAATCAAAAATACTTAAATATCTCAGACCTTCCTATTTGGTCTACTATTACTAAACTATTTGACTTCAATAGCTTTACTTTTAATTTTAATCCCACATCCAAGAAAAGTTTTGGATTTTCAGTTTCTAGTTATTACTATTTACTGTATGTTTTCTTTTCAGAAACAGCCCTAGCAGCCATGATACATCCCTCTTATGATGACAGTACTGCTCAAATGTCTTCTGAGAGGAAGTTCTGTTGCTATTACCAAACCAACTGTACTTATCTCCTGAGGCAGTTACAGGAAGTACAGACAACTGACAAATGTCAACCAAGTACACCTTTTCACAGGCCATGCAATACGAGTAACTTTTGTTCAGTAATATCAGATGACAGATTACACAGAAATATGGCTAATAGAATTATTTACCTTACTGGATAATTACGATCACATAAAATCATGTTTGTTAAAGTACCTTATAACTCTAATCCTCATTAAAAACAAGTAATAATAAATATTAAAAAGTAATTTAATTTCACTGAGGACTTGCCAGTACTTTTAATGACTAATCATAATATTGTATTTAGTTTTTGCTTTTTGACAAGCACCATGTTGGTTGCTTTCACATTATTTAACTGCTCTTATTTCCCATTAATCCACCGTTTATTACTTTCATTACTGTCTCTGACTTGCTTATCTAATGGTATAAAAGCCTTCTGGTGACTTATGAAATGCTGTTGCACAGCTGAATTAAATTCAATTACATATTTAGGGGCATGATCTTTCTTCCTTGTTTCCTAAACTTATTTCAATCTGCTTTTAGAGAGGGTATGCTGCTGGAGGTCAGCTTGCTGAAAAACTGGCATCTAGAAAACAGTTTTCCATCTTTCACTGATGGTTCTAGCATGCAGAATTCACCCCATCCAAAAAATAAGCTGGGTCAGGAGAAGTTCACTATGGGACATGTTAAAATTGTTGCCTATAGCTATGTAAGGATGGCCAGTAAGCAGTAGTCTATAAGGGTATGAATCATAAGGAAAGAGATCAGGGATATAGATAGATTTGGAAGTCATTTATATAGATAATTACTGAAGTCATGACAGTAGAAAAGAAACAGTGGTCAAAAGCACTGATACTTAAAAGACAAATAAGAAGGAGAGGAGGCTGAAAAAGAAACAGAGGAGATACAGCTTCAGCAGTGCTGTCCAACAAAATTTTCTTCAGTGATTGAAATAGCCACTAGTCATATTTGCCTATTGACCACTTGAAGTTTGGCAAGAGTCACTGAGAAACTGAATTTTTAATTTTTAGAAAATATTAATTTAAAATCAAATAGCCACATATAATTACTGCATTGGACAGTGAAAGGCTACAGAGTAGGCTGAAAATAAAAGTGACATCATGAAAGTCATCAAAAGAAAGTATCTCAAAAGGCAGGGAATGGTCAACAGTATTAAACATTAGAAAGGACAAACTAGCTAGGACTAAAAAGTGACTACTGTATTTAGCAATTTAGGGGTTGAATTGTGTCCCCCAAATCTTTATATGTTGAAGTACTAACCCCCACTACCTCAGAATGAGACTTCATTTGGAAACAGGATCACTGCAGATGTAATTAGTTAAGATGAAATCATACAGGAGTAGGCTGGGTTCCTTTTTCAATATGACTGCTGTCTTTATAAAAAGGGTAAACTTAGACACAGAAACACGCACACAGGGAGAATGCCACGTGAATATGAAGGCAGAGATAAGGGTGATACGTCTACAAGACAAGGAGCACCAAAGACTGCCAGCAAGCCACTGGAAGCTAGGACAGTGTCTCTAATGCCTTCTGAAGGAGCATAGCCTTGTTGACATTTTCATCTTGGACTTCCAGCCTCCAGAACTGAGACAATATATTTTGTTGTTCAAGCCACACAGTTTATGGTACTTTGTTACAGCAACCCCAGCAAACTAATACAACATGAAAGAGATCTTTGATACATCCTAGTTGCTTTGTCTATCTACTTAAATCTTTAAAAATGTATATTCTTATTTAAATCTTAATCTTCTAGCATATAGGGAATATAGCTGTTAAAAACTTTGTATTAACATTAAATGTTTAAGAGCAGCCACCTAATAAATTCTAATTAATGATGTTAAATTTCACTTGTACATCTAAAGTACTGAAATATAAACACTGCACTACAAAATAAACACAAAGGGATCTGAAATAACACGATTCCCAAGGGGGTCCATGAGATCTAGTTATCTGGCTCAAATGTTCCTTCACATCATCATAGATGTCATGTTTTAAAAACAATTATAAAAAAGCCACTTACCTTTGGTTTCTAAATTTTTAGTAGTCATTTTTTCCCCTTAACCACTGAAAATGCACTCCAAGACTTCTACTGAACAACCTAGAAATGTACGCATATGAAATAATTTAAACAATATCATATAAACACATTCATTGAGTACCTCTAATTTAAAAGTTATGATATTTTAATTGCTTCTGTATTTAGTATGCATGCATTTAGAAAGGGAAATGTCTCTTATAACCCATTCTCCCAGAAGGCATTGTTACGTCTACTAAAAGTCTCAAAAAAAAAAAAAAAAAAAGGAGTGATTTACTTCTAAACATTCCGTTTCATCATCCTCACCAATACACTCTAAATTGTCAGAAGTATGTCCTGAATTTTAGCCAAGCAATGGCAAAGATACTGTGGTGGTTTTGTGTCATCCGTATGACAAGAGGAATTTTAAAGTAATTTTAAAGTAATTACTTTCTTAGGAGACATACTGACACAATTCGTATGCACACACAGACACACACACACATATCAAAAAGGAGCTTCTGTTTAGATGTGTAACAAACGACAAAAAATATTACTCAAGATAACATAATTCATACTTTTTTGGTAATAAAAAGTTAAAATAGTGTAGCTCCAAAAGTAAAAAGAGAAACATATATTAAGCACATGCTTTCAGAAATGTACACACTGCCTACAGTACAGACTCAGATTTACTAGAGAACATATAAAAAGGTGACGCTACTGCAATGATATAAATATGACAAACTGTACGCTAGATGACAACTGGTTTCACTACAAAAAAAGATCGCTCTCAGTACTAGATACAACTCAGTTCAATTAGTGAACCCGACGACTAACTTTCTTAACAGTCACAAACTTTTCTACACTACAGTCTATTGTTCCGAAAAGAGGTATCCAAAAAACCCTTCGTAAGAGTAACGATCCCTGAAACTGCCCTTGATAGTTGCTCTGCGAAACGTACAGGCACAGCGAGTGCCTGCTGGCAAATGCCAAATGAAGGTGAGGGGGTGAAGAAGTAAGTAGGGGTAGTGAGCAGGTATGAGAGCGATAGGCCGGGAAGCGACAAGTCTGTCAACCTTTGCTGTCCCGGGAAGTCGAAACCCAAGTTCCATCCCTGTCTGAAAAAGCCTTCCCGGAACAACAATCGTTCCCTAAATCCAAAGCTACTGGCCAACAAGCTCCAGCCAGACCTCCGTCCCTTTCCAACATCCTTAGTTATACCTGCTTGTCCTCGGATTTACCTGTAAGATTCTTATTCTCCGTATTTCAGGGGGCTTCACTTCATAGGCTCTTCGGATCGGTATCACCAGGTTAACTTCTCACAGACCTCTTCCATTCAGAAGCCGGGGCCCGCCCAGGCCCTCCACATATCCAGGAGCTCTCTCACTCCTAACCACTTCCGATTACTCAGGGTTTCGCTTCCGGAATACTTTTCCAAAAGAGAAGGGTAAATACATTCTGCAGTGCGTTTAAACTCAAGTAACACAGAACACACACTGTAAGGCCTCCGTAAGTGGAAAGCGGACAGATGTCTACTTTAAAATAAAATACCGTACAGCAACTTTTGGAGCCCACGCCTCAGATTCACTTAAACTTCCGGGCCAGCTGTTAAACAAACGGAAGTAAAACTGCCGGAAACAGAAAAACGGCGTCTCGTAGGCCCAGGCGACAGCGTGGAGGGGCGGGCCTGTCGATTGGATGAAAGCTGCTGAGATTACTCCCAGCCACTAAGGACGCAGAGGTGGGGCGGTGGCGTCCCACGCACCGTGCGACAGTGGGCGGTGCTCTGTTGCCTGAGTAACCGTATGATGGTGTTGGTGGCGGTGTCTTCCTGTCTCAACGATACCTATTTTCTAGTGCTGAGATCCTGAGACAATGGTGAGTGCCAGGGGATGTCAGAAGAACGGCTGTGGGGTCCTAGCTACTTAGCGTTCCAAGTCTTCTGGCGGATGGGCACTTAAAGTTGTCCTGTCCTCCCGACCTTCTCCTCATTATCTCTTTCCCCCTTCCCACGGGCTGTTACTGCAGTTTACTCGCTCTCCGTATTTCTTATAGCACCCTGAATTCCACTGATGCTACTAAGTCTCTAGAGTAATGAAACAGAAAATTCAGGGTAAGGCATCGAGTCTAATAACCTGTTTTGAACAAACATTATGTGTTTTCATTGTTCATCGTGGCATTTTTCATGCTCACAGATTCACATTAACGCGCTTTATTAAGAGTATGGGGTGGTGTGTATGTGACTGTCTCAACACTGATCTGAATCTCCCTAGATCTTGGAGTCCTTTTGCTTTTGTGAGTGGCAGAGCACTGCCCCACGCCCCCACGAGGGCCATTAACAGATGTATGTTGGATCAGCTCTCGTCTGTCCAGTTGGTTACCTTCTAGGTCTGTGCTTGCTTTTCTTTTCTTTTCTTTTCTTTCTTCTTCTTCTTCTTTTTTTCTTTCTTTCTTTCTTTTTTTTTTTTTAAACAGATATTTCTCTTGGGATTGCTTGGAGAGCTTCTGGAATTCACTGTTTGGACTTCACCCCTGGAAATTCTGAATGAAAGGAATGGGGCTCGGTATTTGCATTTTAAATAAACCTGTAGGTGATTTTAATTCACCCACATGTTTGAGAGTACCAGGGTTCTAGTTAATTCACTTAACTATCGTGTCTTTTAAGCACTTATGGATAATGGACTGGAAGATAGAAAGATCTTTAGATAGTTATAGCTACGAATTTAGAAACAGAGCCCCCACCCATCACCCCTTGTTTCTTCATACTACTCAGCAATCCTTTTGGTTACCCCAGTTTTCCCCTGCCCCATTTTCTGTAAAGACATTTTCAAACCTTCCACTTATAAACCCTGTCTTTTGCCCTTCTCATTTCTCCTTTCTAAACATGATGGAGTATAACAATTCTTCAACCTCATGCCCTCAACCTACACACTGATCTATAATTTTGCCAAGCCTTTAGTCTTGTATTTCTAGTGTAGAGAAAGGGATATTAAAGGATAATCCATCCATCTTTGCTTTTGATCTCATTTGCTTCCATCTGTTACATTTCGCTTCCAGTTGTCTTTTTTCTTTCCTGTGCTTTCAGCCTCTTCCTCTCCAGTTCCTTCTACTCAGTGCTCAAGTCACACATCTTATGAAAATTAAATAAAGCAAAACCATGTCATCCATCCTGTGTTTATCCAGTTATTTCCCAGTCCTCCTATCTATCAGTAAACTTATTGAAAGGATATTATTTTTGCTTATATCAAACAGACAAAAGTCTTTTGTCTTGCTTCTTTAATGCCTTCAAGAAAGTTGTTCTTGCTTAAGTTTCTAAAGGCCTTTTAAATGCCAAATACAGTAATTACTTCTCAAAATTTATATTGCTTAGTCTGTTTGTGACAACTGAGGTTCATAGTCATTAATTCCTTTTACTGGCTGTGCCTGGTTTTTGAATGTCATTCTTTGGAATTCACTCCTTAATTACTTTCATTTCTTAGTCTAGACATTTTCCTTGGGTGATTTTGTCCACTCACATGGATTCTACTAACACCTTTGATTTTGCTTCTAAATTTCAATTTTCCTCTCAGATCTACTAATGCCTAACTCAGTTGCTTCCCGGACACATCTGTCTCAAAGGCCCCTCAAACTTAATATGACCAAAACTGAACTTGCTATCTTTCCTCCTGGTTTCTCCTATTTTCACCAAGTTAAATACTGCTACTACTATATTGTAACCTAAACTAGAAATCAGAGTTATCCTACATTCCTCCCTTTCCTATTTCTCCCATATTCAGTTGGTCACTAGATCAAATTTTAGTTTGTCATCTCCTCATTTCTTGATTATTTTAATAGTGACTTTTACAGTCTGGTCTGGAAATTCTCCAATCCATTATTTTCTCTGCCACAAGAAGGAATTTTTAAAAACCCAGCCTGTTGATTTACTCACCTCCTTAAAACTCTAGAATCCCCATTTCCTACAGTAAAATGTCCAGAGTGGCACACAAATTCCTCCATGAACAAGCACTTTTCTGTCTAGCTTTTGCCTTTCCCTTTCCATACCTTTTTTTTTTATATATAAAAAATTATCTTGCCTTTTAGCTACTTGCTTTTCATTGAACATACCAAGCAACTTCAAACTGGTAGTATGCCTCCTCTTTCTACTTTGCACTTGCAATTCCTTCTACACAGAATACCTGCACCCTCTTGTTGCTTGCCAAACTCTTATTTATTCTCCTGTTACAGGCCAACGTGTTCTTCTTGCCTGCTTCCCAGAAAGACCAAACATTGAGAATGCAGGAGTTGCAGCAGAGAAAGAGTTTAATGGAGGCAAGGCAGCTGAGTGGCAGGATAGGAGATATTTCTAAAATCCACCTCTCTGACAGCTTGGAGGTTGTGGTTTTTAAGGATAATTTTGTGGGCAGGTGGGTAGGGAGTGGGTGCTGCTGATTGGTTGGGGATGAATTTATAGGTGTTTCCAAACTGTCTTCTGTGCTGAGTCAGTTGTCTAGGTGAGAGTCATAGGACTAGTAGAGTCAGTTTCTTGGTATGAGTCATGTATTTGGGTGGCATCAGGAGGTTTGCCAGAATGCAGAAGCCTGAAAAATATATCAAGACCAATCTTAGGTTTTATAATAGTGATGTTATCTAAAGGAGCAATTGGTGAAGTTACAAATCTTGTGACCTCTGGCTACATGACTTCTGAATAGTAAGAAATTGTAGAAAAGCAAGTACCAGTAGCTGGTTATTGCTTACCTATGCCTATATCTTAGCAGATTTTAGATCCCTCTTAGAATCCTAACTTTGTGGCCTTCTATTAGTCTTACAAAGGCAGTTTTAGTCCCTAGAGGGGATCAGTTTTGGAAGGGACTATTACCATCCTTGCTTCAAAGTTAAACTATACATTTCTCCCATAGTTAGCTTGCCTATGCCCAGGTATGAGCAAGGGCAGTTAGCTTTGTGAGGTTAGAAGCAATATGGAGTCAGTTAGGTTAGATTCCTCTCACTGTTATAATTTTTGCAAAGGTGGATTCACTTCCAGACCCAGTGTAGGTGTCTCTGCTGTGATGCCTTCCTTCCCTGCTCAGAGACGGTTGAGTCGAGTCAGGTGCAGTGGCACATGTGTATAGTCCCAGCTGTTGAAGAGGCTGAGGCCAGAGGATTGCTTAAGGCCAAGAGTTCAAGGCCAGCCTGAGCAACATAGCGAGACCTTGTCTCTAAAAAAGTATAAATAAATACAAATTTAAAATCTGTGCAGATAATCAGAGCTTTCCCCTCCACACTGTGAAATCAAGAAAAAAAGAAAAAGGTTGATTGTTCATTCTTTTCTGTTACCATTTTATGTAGTATATGTCTCTCCTATTGTACTTGCCTCATTCAGTTGAAATTATTTGTTTATAGATTTGTCACTGTTACTAAAATGTGAACTGTTAAGAGGAATTGATGTTTATTTTGTTCACAGTATTACCTAGATTATATTAGGCACTCAAATGTTTGCGGAATGAATACAAAATAAGAAAGAATGTGGCAAGTGGTCTGAGAGAATATAAAATAATTGGGGGCACATTGTGCAATTGAGTCCCTGCTTCTCAATCAGAGTCAGAAAAGTTGTCATAAAGAAGATGGAATAGAATTTCAATAGTTAGAATTCGATGACCTGTGCAATGGCATAGGGAGGTTGGAAAGTGACATTTGCTAAATACTGGTTTTTTTGTTGTTTTTTTTTTTTTGCCTGTCTTACATTATTGTTATCAGACTTCCCAGGAATGCTAAGGGCAGTGAATGAACTCCTGTTCCCACTCCTCCTGCCGGGATTGCAGGCTGGGGCTCTTTCAAATTAGGTAGTCTATGAAGGCCTCTCTGTGGAAAGAACTTTTATATTGAGACCTGAATAATATAATACAAAGTGCAACGATCTGGAGGAAGTGTTCCAGGCCACGCTAACAACAAGATCAAATACCCTGAGGCAGAAAAGAGATTGGTATATTTTAGAAACTTACGGTTCAATGTAATAAAATAATAGAAACTGGGTGGTGGGATGGTGCAAGGGTGGCTGCAGTAGGGAAAGTATGGTACAAAATACCATGAAATGTGGTTAGGGAGGTAGGCAAAGGCCAGACCACACGTATACATACAGCAGTGTTTCTCAAACTGTACCTGGTAACTCATTACTCAAATTTGTGGTATGTAGCCAGCATTAAAAAGAGGACATAAAATACCAGCTTAACATATTCACTACATGTTGTAAGGGTAACTTTCATGAACTTTTGTTTAATTGTATATGTATTAGATGTGTACTGGATTCTGATGTAAAATGTATTTCTTACTGTGAGTCCTGATCCACAAAGTTCAAGACACAGTGTACTTTAAAGAATATATACTTTATTTGTTTTGTTTTGTTTTATTTATTTATTTATTTTTGAGACAGGACATTGCCCTGTCACCCAGGCAGGAATGCAGTGGTGAGATCATGGCTCAGTGCAGCCTCAATCTCCCAAGTTCAAGCGATCCTCTAGCCTCAGCCTTCTGAGTAGCTAGGATAATAGTTGTGTGCCATGATGCCCAGCTAATTTTTATTTTTATTTTGTAGAGACAGGGTCTCACTATGTTGCCCAGCCTGGTTTTGGACTCCTGGGATCAAGTGATCCTCCCACCTTGGCCTCCCAAAGTGCTGGGATTATGTTTTTATGTTGAGATTTCAACTATTTTACCTTTTAAACTATATTATTAGCCACCACATTCAGCTAATATATAGTTTAAAAGACAAAATAGTTGAAATCTCAAGGCCTGCAGATATTCTTATTTCTCTTTTGACCTAGTGAAAATGTTCTTGTTGTGTGGCAGATACAGCTTTGAATCAACGACAGCCTAAAATTGGCTAGAGTGAAATCTTCAAGTTT